AAGTTATAACGGTTTTGTGTTGCCATTGAAATTATTAAATATCTATCTATCTATCTATCTATCTATCTATCTATCTATCTATCTATCTACCTATCCTATCTATCTATCTACCTATCTATCTATCTATCTATCTATCTATCTATCTATCTATCTATCTATCTATATAGCTTTGTCTGTGTGTGTGTGTCTGTGTGTCTGTGTGTCTGTCTGTCTGTCTGTCTGCATGCCTGCCTGCCTGCTTGCTTTCCTGACTGTCTGTTTTAAATTGTAGTCTTTTTTTGCCATTATAGACAAAATGTGGGCATTAATTGTGGACAGAATGAATGGACAGAAATGGAAGCCTCTCTGGACATTGTAAAGAGAAAAGACATTCTTCAATCTGTAGTTCATGAGGGGGGTGTTGTTGATGTCAAGTATGAAGATGAAAGCTCTCCTGCACTTTTTCTCAAGATGAATGGTGAGATTGGTGAATGAGTGAATGCATGCATATTTAATTTTTTTAAACTATTCATTTGAAATAATGAACCTTTCCTGTACAGAAAATAAGGACAAGCTAAGTCTAAATCATATGGAGTCAGAGAGAAGGCAAAAAGAGGAGTGCAAGCTGCCTGAAAAGAGAGCAATAAAAAGGAAAAGAATATTCAGTCCAGAAAACACCCCATCATCAAGTCCAGATAAAGCCCAGAAGAGATTTTAAAAAGTAAAATCTAACTTCCTGATCAATTATATCAACATTGTTTAAGTGACAATGCATGAGTTTTTGTTGTTCTGTGACTTTAATTTTGTCTCTCAACTTAGGTGGAAAAAACACAAAATGACACACTGTTGCTTAAAAAAATAGAAGGAAAAAAAAAAGACGCGTTAAATGACCTGCGAAAAGAAATCAAGGCCTTGAGAGCAAAGAATCAGCAACTAAAGGCCCTGAACTTTAAACTGCAAAATGGTAGGCTATTGATATACATGGTTATAGATTTTTTGCTATTAATAAACGAGTTATTTTGTAAAACGCAGATTAAAAAAAAAAAAAAAATATGGCCAATTAAATGTATTATTTCATGTGTATTGCACAGGTTGAAATCCACAGAAAACTAAACATTGCAAAGGATACATGCCAAGCATGTGGTAGAGGGGGCACATCATGGTCAGCCATGATTAAGGATTTAGCAGTGGCTGTTTTCGGGAGGAGCATGCTAGCTACCCACAGTCTTTCTGGAAAAATTGGAAATGCCAACAAAGAATCGCAAGCCAAGCCCCCTTTGGACCCCACAAAAGTGTAACGTATTATAGGTATAAAGGTGTTGATGGTTTTGAAGTACATATGCTCTCATAACACGTATCTGACACTAAAGTTTATTTACATTTCTCTTTCAGACACTGTTCAGAAGAAATTTCCAGCAACTCCAGAAAAGCTTCTTCGGGCTGCTTTACGAGAAAAAAATGAATAATGAACATAAACTCCTTTGGTTTTACATTCTAATTTATTTTTTATATTTTAAGTGTTATTCATTACACATTTTGTTTCACATATCAACTAATCTGCAAGATGATCATTTAAAGTTCTTATAATTACAGTACCTTATATTTCAGCATTTATAGTGTATACTCATATTTCTCAGGCAACATAAGAAGGACACTGTTACGCTGCAACACTGAGTGGTGAAGCACATAAGAGGTGAGGGCAAATTCACTGTAACATATTTTATTAGTTAAGTTAAGTCAAAAATGTCTCTCTCATTTTTTTCCAGAGACCATTTATTGGTTTCTGCAGAATGATGGGCCACGTTCTGTTCAGAGTGTTCAGTTTCTTCACACTTGTCTCATTTAATCTTTAAGCTCTCTTGACTAATAAATAATTAATATTATCTGAAGTCGTTTTTTATTTTTTGTTGGTATTTAAATTTGAGAGACATAACAAGTGTTATACAAGGTCCTGCAGGATTTTTTTGTAGGGGAAAATTATGGGAGTATTTTTGATGTAAGTAGTGTCAGAAAGAAAGAAAGAAAGATTTATGCTCTATTTGTCTATATTATATATGTTTACAATTTTGTACAATATTATAGACTAGTCATACCTGGAACCAATAATTCATTATCACCAGCTGAGGTCAGTGTCACCTCAGTTCTGAGCATCAGCAGTCAGATCATATTGTCTTCTTTGCCCTAGCAATGGCTCTTTTATGTTCAAAGTTTCTCATAGTATTGCAGAATTCTCTCCAGTAACTTCACTTTTCAGTTCTTGACTGGAGCTTGTGCTTTCTTGCTGTTATTTAGATCTAGTTATGAGTGAGATGCTTTTATCTTCTTAAATGCTCTGTTCCTGTTTCTAATAGCTATTCCACATTCATTATTCCACAATGGAACTGCATTCCAACTCTTGTCGCCTCCCCAGGTCCGAGCACCAAACCCAGACCCTATTGTATTTGTACAATAGGTCATCGCTTTCAAAAGAGGCTTAACCTAGGATGCCCTTGGACATTATGTGGCCTACTGCAGGAGTTCTCCATGGGTCTGGGAGACGTATGACGACCTGAGAAGTGGAGTGACAGGAGCGTCAGAAAAATCAACAACATATGCCCACCTGCAGTCTTATACACAAAAGAGTGATTGCACTGTTTAAATTTAATCTCACAAGTATAAGTATTTTTGTTGTATGTATTTTCCTACTCCTGTTTGGAGAAGTTGTCTCTGCTTTTCTGGAAGTCAGGCTTGATGGAGTTTGCACTTAAGTCTATTATTCTGTGTGGCATTTTTGTTTTGAAGACAGACAATGCACCATGGCTTGTCAGTATTAAGTGTTTTAAAGTTTAAGTTTTTAAAGGTCCATTATTTGTGTTAATGGATGTTCGACACTTTAATACACAGTTTCACAAATAAAATAATTTTGGCTGAATTCTTAATTCATTGAGTCATAAGTTTCCATATAGATACATGCATACATACACGCACATATAGCCGGGGCGGACTGGGGCTAAAAAATTATTTTCGCAGTGTTCCGTTTGTAAAATAGGCCTATCGTATAATTGTCATTTTATCGCTTTAGTACATAACATTGCATATTCATAACCCTCAGTCTGGATTTTATTATTTTAATGAGTCTGAATTTAGTAAATAACACTAATTTAGCAATAAAACAAGGTAAACATAAAATAAGTTTCTATTTAGGCTACATATTACATAACACGAGTAATGTGAGAGTAGTCTTGTGGAAATAAAATACATGCATTACATTAAATTGACTCTGGCCAAATGACTTTTAACCGAGTTGTTCAGAAAGAGAGAGCTAAGGTGCAAAGGAAAAATCATGAGCGGGACAATAAAAAAACAAGAGCATCCTGTTTCTGCAGCATCGATTGCAATAAGCACCATTCTTTATTAATGCCATGGCTATAGAAATATTACTCCACACACAAACAAACAACAATTAATACAAAACTTATGGCCTAAATGTAAAAAAAAATGTGTATATAATAAGAATAAAATTATATTAAAAAATGAAATTAAAATTACATAAAAACAAATAAAAATACAATAAAGAATACAAATACAAATAATGCATTTCTCAATAAATCACAGGTTGTTATTGGTTGGTTAGTCCAGTTGCCCAAAGATAAAAAGCAACAACAACAACAAGAAAAAAGCCTTTTCGCCCACAAGAGGGATCCAATGAAAAGCATTACAACTACTTTACCTCTTGAACTTGTTTCTATCTTCAGTTGGAGAAGAGTGAAGTTAGGCTGAGTAGTTACAAATCCCATGGTTCAGGGCAGAGTCACATAAACGGGAAGGCCACGTGCAAATTTAATCAACCCAAAAGTAGATATTTATTAAGGTAAAACATAAATGAATTAAGCAAACACAACTGAAACAGAAAAAAAGAATTGCCAATTAATAAAATTATAAAGCTTGGAAGAACCAGTGTATTTTTTGAATATAACTCCGATTGTGTTCGTCTGACAAAAGATGGTTCATCTTCTGAATGGTTTCATCTACTCACTGAACACTTGTGCCCTGAATAACCTCTCAACAAGATGTTTGTCCACCCAACAAATCAAACCACATCTCTAAAGAAAAATGACCAGATTTGGACTCAGAAGATGAACGCCAGTAAAACTGGCACTGTGAGATCCTACACGGTTTTAAGTATGTACTTTTTTCCCATACACTACAATTGAGAACTGAATAAATATACACAACAATTTCAATATCACTTTCTATTTTATCATGACATGTAGTTTATACACAATTCACACAATATTTCTCTACTTTTAGCCATTTAACACAGACAACTATCACACAATAAGAACACTTCAAATCTTAAGGGCCCAAACAGTATGCAAATGAAGTGTATGAGCTAGAAGAGTCAAACTCTGTGGTGGGAGGATCCACACCACATTAACCGCTCTGCTGTGTTTAGTTATATTAGATCAGACCCTGAACTACTGAAGAAAATGTTTTCACTTTTTTTTTTTTTTTTTCATTTCCTTTGCCTGTGTTGGCTGTGAATGGTCTTTTCTCTCTATGATATAAGTGTTTACATGCTTGCTAAAGAAAACAGAATACTTTTTAATGCATTGATTTAAAGGCCTTAAAAGCACTTGAACCCCAATAACTGCTGCTTGCAGCTATAATTGAAATTGATGCAGAATGGTTTAATCTGGTTTTAGTTCTGGTGTACATATAAAAAGCTACGCTATTCAAAGTTGGTCAACCAGTGTTTTCTGTTGAAGGTGGATGACTAACAGTTAATGTTAGTGGTTAAATAATAAACAATAGCAACATAATCAAGCATAGTGTTAGCTCTATCCAGTCACATTAGGCAAGCTTGCATCATCTAACTCTCAGCTGATAAAGTTGTTTTCTTTTTGAATTGAGTTTTTCTGATGCCACAACTAATTTTTTTTTTTTTTTTTTCAGAAAACAATACATTATATATTTTTTCTTCTTACATTAATGCATCTTGATGTAATGGGAAACAACACAAAAATATTGAAAAGATATCACCCCCAGTGTAATGCTCAACTTGGTGCAGTATTTGTGGAAACGCAGTCCGTTCTATCAGTGTGGATATAAACAGGCAGGACATAATGACTCATATGTCAAACCAGATCAGTGCATTAATACTTCATGTAGTGCAAAAGACATGAAACAGATGTCTCACTGTTCTGTTTCCATCTCAATCACATTAGCAGATTTGATAAACCTCTACATACCAAAAAACTACAACTATCTGTTTGAATGCTGTTACCATGTTGCTTACATTATTTCTCATATACTTTTCAATGCTAAATGTTACCTTTTAATCTATTTAAAAAAATAAAATAAAATAAAAATAATTGTTTATGTCATTTAAATTGGTATGCTATAATAGGTGTGACAATTGTACTAGTATTGGTACTGACTACTGAAATCTTCGGATCACTCTGTGAGTAAACGGATGTTTAAGGACATCCCATCTACTTCAAATGAATGTTATTAGGAGCAGGCGGTGAGTTACCATCATCATCCTCCTGTAAGAAAGCACATTCACAAAAGGTCAAATGAATGAGGAGGTCTGATGTTTAAGTTACACAAAATAAATAAATACTCAGCAAAAAAGAAATGCACCTTTTCACGACAATGTTTTTTTTATAAAGATTATCCGAATAAGCTTAAACAATGTTTTTCATGCTTGATCGATGAACATAAACCATTTTTGCATGCATTTGTTCTTAAGACACTAACAGTTTACAGGCGGAAGACAATTAATGTCATAGTTCCAATAACTTCGAGCACTAAAGAGACCTTTCTATTGACTGTGAAAAACACCAGTGTAAAGAAGCTCTGGGTCTCTGATCAGCTGTGTGAAGATGCCATAGACCTGCTGGAGGCAGGAGGCATGAGGACTGCAGATGAGAACAGAGCAATAAACTGCAGTGTCTGTAATGTAAGACACCTAGCTGTTGAATCTTTTTATGTTCAAATATTTACACATAAAAAGAAATCTGCAAGAAAAAAGTGGAATGAGGTTTCTTTTTTTTTTTTGTTTACTAGAGACTTGGAATCGGAACAGTTGTTTGTGGAAAGGTTTTCACTCCCTAATAATTTAGCACAACGTCTTAAACTGCATCAGATGGTCATCTTCTTTAGTATAAACTTGAAGTATTGTATTATTTCAATATCACATCTAGAATTCTTGAACTGATGCATTGGTGTTTTCTGTGACAAAGGTTGCACTTTGTGTTGTTATATTAACTGTTATTTAGTTTATTTGGGACTTATTTGTGTTTTCAAATGTTTTGACATTGCCTCACTCGTGAATATCTGGTTCTGTGTTGTTAAAATTAAATACAAGATTACTATTTACAGTGCACGTTTTTGTTTCAGTCAACGAGTTATATAATAATATTAATATAAAAAAGTATGCATACCACTGTTCCTGTAATATTTTTTGCACAGTAAATCTCATATATATTTTGTTAAATCAGCTGTAGGTAATACTTACATTCGGTGGTACTGCTGTATGGCTCCTGCGGCGACAGTAAAACACACCAGCAGCTACAGCAGCAGCAGCCACCAGCAGAACAACAGCAACAACTATTCCTGCTAAAGCAGCTGAAGGCAGATCTGAATCTGAAACAGCTAAAAACAGTCATTATTACTAGAGTGAATGATAATAAATCCAATATTTAGCAATATCTTCAAATGATATTTACTGCTCCAGGTGTGTTCATGGTGTGTGTGCACTTCAATGGATTAAATGCAAAGCACAAATTCCAAGTATGGAACACCATATTTGGCCGCACATAACATCACTTTCACTTTCTACTTCATTCATCAGTTGAATGACATTGATTAAACTGATAAATGGCACCTTTTGCTGTTTCTAGCAACAGCGGTGAACAGCATCACAGCACATTCAGCTCAACAGGAAGCAGCATGGCTCATAGGGAAACTGGCTGATATTATTCATTTTGCATGTTAATAACATCATCAGTCAGTGTTATTGACTCAAAACAGTCCACAGTCCCAAACCAAACACATATTGGGTTGTAAAGGTTGCATTGAACGAAGTTATTTACTCACCAGTGACAGAAACACTGAATCTCTTCACTGTGGTGATGCTGAAGCTGCTGTCACTGATGATGATCTGTACTTTATAGAGTCCCGAGTCTGTGGTTCTGGTGTTTGTGATGGTCAGAGATCCAGTCTGATGATCCAGCTTCAGTCTGTCTCTGAGTTCTGAGTATTGATGTGTGCACTGTTCATCTGTACAGATCTTACTCTGGTCTCCAGTGATTTCAGCGATAAGAGTGTCATTAAAACACCACGTCCTCACATCATTTGGGTGTTTTATAACACCAGGATCTAAAGTAACAGATTCTCCCTCTTTCATTTCATATAGTTCAGCAGCAGAAACATCTGAAACGCAAACCAACAGCTGCTGGAGGATTTTGTATTTTAAACTGCATTTAAACACTCATGAATGACTCACCAGTGACGGAAACACTAAAGATCTTTTCACTGTCGTCGCTGCTTATGATTTTCAGTTTATATTCCCCAGAGTCTGTGGTTCTGGTGTTCATGATGGTCAGAGATCCAGTCTGATGATCCAGCTTCAGTCCGTCTCTGAATCTCTCAGTACCTGCATTACACTGAACATCTGTACAGATAAAACTGAGATCTCCACTGATTTGTGCGAGGCGAGTGCTGCCGAAATACCATTTAATATCTTCTTGTTGGTTTGTTTCAACTCCAGTGTGTAGAGTGACTGAATCTCCCTCCTTCACTGACACTGCGACTTTATCTGAACCAAAACCAGACTCAACTGAAGAAGAAACATAAGCAAAATATACAATAGTGCTGTGATAATGTTTTTCTACACATCATAAACATAGAGAAATATGTCTGGATTCATAATGTAACTTGCAAACAAACAGCAGAAGAGATTCACACATGCACTCATCAGACAAACACACACTTCTCATGGATGATCTTACACAACACACAATCCACTTCCTGACTAATAATTTTACCTCTTTCTCTATACATATAGGCCTATTTGAATAAAACGTTTTCATAGACTCATAATAAATATTACATAGATGACCAGTACCCACAAAAATACATAAGATACTTATTTTACACCGCATAAAGACATACAGTGCCGTGTTTTCTACATTTTATAAACATGTTAGTCCTTAACCTCTCACGTAAATAACGTGTGTAGGCAACGTTATGAATTTGGCAGAAGCTTTCAACCAAAGCGACTCACATTGCATCCAAGCTACATTGGATCAGTTTGTGCACTGATATGAAATGTCAACTTTTACTTAAGTTACTTGTTTATACCCAGTCACGTGACATGAAAAATGACATTTTCACGCAAATTAAACTGATCTGATCTCGTTTCAACTGCCATAGAATCGGATTTTTTTTGTTGTTGTTGTTAAAATGTTTACCACTGACCATCGTTTTCTGTGAACAGTATTAGGCTCTGTTCTCAGCTTAGCCATTACGCGAACAATAAGGCTACAAAGTGCCCAAGACGCGTATAGGCCTATTAGGCCACACAAACGAGGAAATGGGAGACTGTAACGAATAAGATCTCACCATGGTAGAGTAAAAACAAAGTAACTGCGAGTGCATTAAAGAAAAGCTTCATTATCACCACTTTTCCCCTCAAAACGAATGCGAATTCGGATGCATAAGTGTTCGTCCGCCTTAACAGCGCAAACTGAAAGCAAACGGGAGTCTCCAAATGGAAGTAGCGTGATGACGTTTTGAACGTTCTTCTCCTAATATGCATATGAAAAAAAAGCCTTTCGTCCTGTTCCGTTTATAAAATATAGTATAAATATATTATGGCAATAGTAGGCTAACCCATATGACAGCGCTTAATCCTAACCCGTCAGGAGTTTATTAATTGTTAAATGATCGTTTATTACTTTAATAATTCAACAAGGTAAAGTGTATATATGCACAGATATTCAGCTTTGGGATCAAAAGTGCAAGTGCAAGAAAAAATTCAATGCATTCAGACCTTCACAGATTAAACAGGTCAAAGCGAATGGGTCAAGATGATATGCGCTACAATGCTGAATGCTTCAATACAACAAATCTACCAGGTCAGGTTTATATAGCACTTTAAACAATACAGATTATTTTGAAGCAGCTTTACAGTGATAACAGGAAGATGATGGATTCTGGGTGTTTTGTACAGCTGAAGCTGCTGTGGAAATAGTCTTCCCCTCATTGCAAAAATCACTCGAGTTCCAGATGCCAAAGCTTAGACTTTATTGGTGGAGATAACCTTGGACGGGGAGCCAGTTCTCCTCTGACCAACAAACGAACACTGTATGATTATGACTCAGCCCGCATCACAAGTCCGATTGAGATCGGTAGCATTCAGAATATTTCATCCAGTTCCTTCTGCTTGAATATCGGATTCATCACACTGGTATGGAGACAAAGCTGGCCACAGGAGTCTGTGCAGCTTGTCTGGTTCTTGTGGTCTTTGCTGAGGATCTGTTCCAATGGCTGACATGTCGACGAGGTCTTCACATTGGATCGTCATGAGGTTGTGTATAGGTGCAGGTCCACCATCTGATCTGGATCCGGCTGACTGTAACCTTGGGATAAGGATGAGACAGACAGACTAATATTACATATTAATATTACAAGTACATCGGATGTTCCAAATCATATAAATCCTGGATGGCTTGAGGGTGAGTAAATCGTGGTATATATATACAGCATCACACCATGTTTTATTGCCATCAACTTCCAGTCTAAAGGAATTATGTATATGCATGGTTAATGCTAAGTGGACAATATTTTATTTGACTGTAAAATTGATTGTGAAGTTCATAAAAAAAGCAAGACATGAATAAACTTTTTTCACTTTCAAGGTGAAAAAAACCACATCTCTGAAGGAAACCAACTGCAGCAGGTTTCAGTTTGACTCAGAAGATGTGCTGCAAGAGTAACAATGTGAGACGGAAGATAGTATTAACTTTTCGTTGTTTTTCCCATACACAATAACACAGTAAAGCAACTACATTTGAAAAATGCTCAGTATTAAATAATAAAATGAAAAACGTTTTCTACTACAAAGTCTTAATAAGTGCTAGAAGAGCACTTATATGTAACTATAAATCATTTGTAAAGTGCCTGTAAAGAACCCACAAGGAGGGTTAAACTGTCGTGGGATGATTCACACACCAGCTCAAGTGCTTTCAGCAGATAGTTTAATTAGATCAGACTTATCAGAAAATGTTTCATGTGTTTGCTTTGTTGTGTCTGTGCTGGTGGCGTCTGACTGGTAAGTGAAAATATATAGTTTATATACTTTACAGAAGTTAAATATCAAGGTGATTTTTAGTAGCTTCATACACTGTGCTCTGGATAGAAGATAAATCTTTCAGAAGCTTTAATCCGTTTGTTCATCAGGTGTGTTTGGTGAGTCGGTGTCAGTGATGGAGGGAGATTCAGTCACTTTATACACTGGTGTTACTGAAATATGTGAAGGCGACGACATTATGTGGAAGTATGGAGCTGAAAACTCTCTCATAGCTAAAATTAAAAAAAGAAGAAAATCTTCTCCACATTACATTCCTGATGAGAGATTCAGAGACAGACTGAAGCTGGACAGTAAAACTGGATCTCTGACCATCACAAACATCAGAACTGAACATGCTGGAGTTTATCAACTAGAGATAAGTGGAGCGAATCTGACATCGAAAACATTCAGTGTTTCCGTCTATGGTGAGTAGAGACGTCATTTGTCCTGTTCTTCAAATATTCTTGTTTTTTTAAAAGAGTATTCAGTACAACTTCAGCTCAATCAATAGCGTTTGTGGCATACTGCTGATCACCAAACATTCCATATATTAACATATATCAAAAACTTTAATGATTTTGTAACGTGATACTTTTTTAAGGATCCATTGATGAATAAAAAAAAAAAAAAAAAGAACAGCCGTTTTTTTCACATTGACATTTTTTGTAACAAAATACACTACTGTTCAAAAATTAGGGATCTGTAAATTTTTTCTTTCTTTTATGAAAGAAATTAAAACTTTTATTCAGCAAGATGCATTAATTTGATAAAACGTGATAAAGACTTATACTGTTAGAAGATAGTTATATTTTAATAAAAGCTGCTTTTTTTTAACTTTTTATTCATCACTGAATCCTGAAAAGAGTATCACAGGTTACAAAAAAATATTAAGCACTGATAATAACTGAGTATCAAATGATGATTTCTGAAGGATCATGTGACACTGAAGACTGGAGTAATGGCTGATGAAAAATCAGCTTCGTGTCAGAAATAAATTATATTTTAAAGTATATTAAAATAGAAAACCATTAAATTGTTAAATTGTAATAATAATTTTTTCTGTATTTTTGACATACTCAACACATTGAGATGAAAATAAGAGTGTTGCTTACATTTATCCATAATCCTTTTTATTCTGTTTCCAGCTCGTCTGCCTGCTCCTGTCATCAGCAGAAACTTTTCACAGTGTTCTTCGTCATCATCATCACAGCAGAATTGTTCATTGGTGTGTTCAGTGGTTAATGTGGGTCATGTGACTCTCTCCTGGTACAAAGGAAACAGTTTATTGTCCAGCATCAGTGTGGCTGATCTCAGCATCAGTCTCTCTCTAACTCTGGAGGTGGAATATCAGGATAAAAACACCTACAGCTGTGTGCTCAACAATCCCATCAGCCACCAGACTCAACATCTGGATATCAGTCAACTCTGTCACACATGTGCAGGTACAGCAGCGTCGATATAATGTGTGTTTATTTACTGAGCTGATCTCTGTATGCTGTTGTAGATAGGACTGCAAGATTCACTTACATTCATGACTGTCTCTCTTTATTCTCCTTCAGTTCTTCCAGACGCTGTATCTCTGATAGTGCTGATCTCTGCTGCAGCTGCTGCTGGATCTCTGTTGATTATAATTGCAATCATGATCTGCTGCATCTGCAGGAAATGTAAAGAAGCAGGTCAGGAAATCAAAAAAATAATGCCAATGTCAAAATATTCACCTTTTGTAAGCCACGATTGTTGATGTCAGATTGAAAACTTTGTTTTAACATGTGATTATTGTTAATGCAGTTCAGACCCAGGAGAAAAACAAAACTGATTCAGTATTGTGTAAAACAGCAACACAGAAAATGGTAAGATCATTCTGATTGTGTTGCAAGTTGTTGTGGTCAGTTAGTCTAAATTAAGTTTTCTGTGCAATAGCATCATATGGTCAGTGAAGAGATGTGGATGGTCAGTTTTGATTATTACCTTCAGTAGGGAGTAACATGTACATGCTTTTATGCTACTTAAACTAAGTGTCTGTACTATATCACTTCTCTAACCCACCTCTCCCGCATATATTCGGAAAATTAAACTAATTATAGGCCTATTCATTCTGGAAATCGAGCGCGCGAGAGAAGCACTGCCTGGTAACAAGACAGTGTTGGAAAAGTGTTGCCAGATTGGAAATGTCCAAAGTACCAGAAGCTCAAATTATTGTATTTGGAAGAAAATGATCGTACATGAGTCAAACGTACAGAATATATCTAGACCAACAACTTTTTAACCCAAACTGTAAATTACCACAATAGATAAATAACTAGGCGTACCTTAGTACCTATTGCTAACGACCTCAGTTTGGAAACGTCGACCAGGAACGTTAAATTGTGCTCGTGAGAGAGTCATTCTCCACGATGATTGGCCGAGAAGACGTAACGTGAGATGAGATGAAAAACATGCGTAACACCCCGTTCTTCGGAACCACAGCTAGATCAATGAATATAGAAGCCCTGATTACAACGACCATCATTTGAAGTTTCACAAAATTCTGAAATGATTGTACATTATGGGATTTTTCATTATTGATCGTACATCGTCCAGAGGTCAAAATTATCGTACGAATACTATAATTATCGTATGTCTGCATCACTGTAACAATGCGTTTTCGGTGATCCGATCACAAAGATCAGCCGTTTACATTATTGTTTACAAGTGGTGTTAACATGCGTTTCAACTGCGATTTATGAACTGCTTATTATTTTGTCACATTACATCACTTTCACTTTCGGTGCACGAATACTATTGAATAAACGAATACGTGGCTTCCGTGAATGAAGATAAAATTGTTATTATTATTATTGTTGCTATTACTATTATATTCAATGATTAGATCGTCCATAATAATAATTTACTCACCGTAATAATCCTGCATGAGTTCTATTAGGCAGAATGACAGCCTGTCACCGTTCACCTTTTTTCCATACAATGAAAGTGAATGGAAACTGTCAGTCACTAACTTTCTGCATGACACCGGAAGAAAGAGAGTGAAGTCTTTATAATCTCGGGTTATTACTGTAGACTTCCGTGTTTGTCATGGTCGGAGAGAGATAATGAGAAAATGGTGCCTTGAGACGCTTATCCTATTTTTAATCGCCCTGTTTTATTTAGCTCAGAGAACAGATTTCTAAACTTAGAAATATGCTTGGAAACTGAAGATGCGAACGATCGGCCTCAGATTCGTCAGTTCCAAACCTGCACATGTTGCACATGTTGGTATTAGCCGACTAGCGACCGTAGCTGGAATGCCAACTACAAAAATATATCTCCTGCTCCAGATAAAAAGATATAGACGACAGTGATGTTTAAACAACACATTGGCTATATATATATGTATATGTATATGTATATG